GGAATGAATTGCCAGAGGGAGTGGTGGAGGGTGGTACAATTACAACATTTAAAAGGCATCTGGATGGGTACATGAATAGGAAATGGGCCAAGTGCTGGCAAATGGGACTAGATCAGTTTCGGATATCTGGTCAGCATGGATGAGTTTGACTGAAGAGTCTGTTTCCATGCTGTATAACTATGACTGTAAATAATTGCAGATTACTGGAAATCTGAAACAAAAGCAGAAATTTAAAATCTTGAATCCAACTCTCCTTCATCAGAACCGAAAAGTAGTATTTCTGTTGATTACGGGACTGGGGTGGGGTGGGGGTGGTGGTGATGGTTGAACAAATAAAGGGGGAGTGAGTAGAGTACAAAGAGACAGTTCCTTGTTCTGTTCTGTAACTGGTTGTTCTCCACACAAAAGGCCCATTTTCATCTGTTCACATTTCCTACTATCATACATTCAGCATTTATCTTCACCCTACCTTATCATCAGCAATCTCTCTGTTTGCCTCTCAATTTTTTTCTCTTTCTTGAGGCACCATCTCATATATTTAACTCTCTCTCATCTATACCACCCAACCTCCAAGCCTCCCCTCATTAGCACAAGTACTATTTTCCAGCTGCTTTCAGTTCTGAAGGGTTGATTAATTCAGAACTTTAACTTTGTGTTTCTCTCTACAGATGCTGCCAGACCTACTGAGTTTCTTCAGTACTTTGTTTTTGTTTCAAATCTGAAGCATGGGCTATTCATTGATTAATAATAAGATTATACACTGATACACAACTTAAACCCCTTATTCCATAGTCTCTCTATAGCAGTAACAAGTGCGACCCCCTCAGACAGTTAGTTTATGTTCATAATTACTCCATAGCTGGTCACAGCCCTGGGGAAAGGTGAACAATAGCAATAATATGGAACCCTTAGTGTGGCAATGGAAGAATGGGTAAACCAAATTGAGCTAAAGCTTATGTAGCAACAAAATGATAACGCTTGTGAAAAAGGTAGCGTCACACCCTGCTGATATTCTTCAAAAGCATATGGGGGGCCCATGGTTCACAAAGCTCTCCCCAAATGGTGCTTACTCACCTGATATCTGGGTTTGTTGTAGATTAATTGACAAGAGATTGATTGCTATGATCAATGGGAGGGTGGTATCTTTGAACATTTAACTTCCTTAATGTATTGGTGTGGTCTGTTTCTCCTGTGGCATGAGGAGAATGTAGATGAGGAGGAGGAGAAAAAGGGAGAATGACTGTGCAACCACGTTTTATATTCCCATTGCTAGGCCACACAATATTACACCAGAATATCCTGCTGCCTTGAAGAACAAATCTTTCTTTACATTGCCTGTAATCAGCAAGTAAACACCAATGTTGAGTTGGAAATGTGTTAACATTTACTTTGGGAGAATGTGGGAGAGGTGTTGTTTTAAAGGGGAGGGAGAAAAGATTTTGGATTCACTTTCTTCCCAAGGTTATCACATTGTGATGTAATGACCAATTCTGAAGAATTGTTCCAAATGCAGCCAAGCCCTCTCAAAACATGTTTAAGAAAGGAGTTAAGTAATAGTTAGACATTAAAATCCTCTAATAGATTAGGATTTCTGGATATACTGACCATATTGCACAAAAATAGTCATTTTCTAGCAATGCCTTGTAACACAGTCTTTAATTTCCAATACCACCACAGATGTTGGTCTCCCACCGAAATTACTTTAGCCTGCAAATGCTGGATTCCTGCAGCGATCTCGGTCACAACCAAACTTGATCATTGTTTTGCTCCATTACAATATCAACTTCTGCTTGATTCCTTGGTTTTTCTTAGGCCAATGCTCATATTCTGTCAAGTACTTGGTGGGAGTAAATATGATTCACTTGGCTGGAGTAACTATGACTCTCTTGGTTGGGTCTCCCATGGAAGCCTTGCCTGGAGGGTTACTAAGGTGGTAGCTTGTGTTTTTATCAAGCATATTGCTAGCCTCATCAGATACAGGAGCAGCGATTTTGCTGGCTGGCTAAATCGACTAAAGAGAAAAAGCGTGAGAAAACCGTTGATCCACGGGGATCACAATACCCAACAGTGTTAGGTGTCAATGCAAAGAGAATTTTGAATGATGGGTTCTGAATACCCACTTCAGTCCAGTTGGGATGCGTGCTGGCTGAAAAAAAATCTCCTGCAGTGTTGTGCGTGGCAGTGATCTGTGAAAAATGTCAACGCCACATGGAAGCCAATAAGACCACCAATAAATCTGTTTCCACAGAGTGGGGAGCCGGAATCAAGACCCCAGAGACTTTGCGCTGTCTCCTACGCGGACATTAATCCAGGAGTCAGGCCCAGAGGACTCAGTGTTCCGGTAGGTGTAGACTTTAATGTTATGGAAGGGCAGGTTGGGGAGGCCCAACTAACAGGACCCAGGAGAGGTAGTTCCAAGCATCGGAACAAAATAAAGACCAACTTTCTAAGGCTGAGGAATCGCTGAGTAAAAGAGGTGATCCTGAGGTCGGAGCGCTGGGACTACGACTTGTAGAATGCATCTCTAACTTATTAACTACTGGATACGACTTGAACAGAATGGATCCCAGATTAAACAATCATGATTTAAAAAGGTTTAAGAGTGGTGGGAGGAAGGTCAAGAAGGCTAAAGAATGATGGGTTAATTAAATGAATAAAATTCAGAAGAAACTCAAATACTCTATACAAAAGAACAGATGCCAGTTAAAATGTCAAATCATGGGGCTCCTGCCATTTTTTTGTGCTCTCTCTGAAAAGAGGAGCTTGAAACCAATTTTTATGCTGAAATTGTCAGTGCCAAAAATAAGGCAAATCGATTTTCAAAATATTCAGGGCAGAGTGATGAGTATGAATTAATGTGCCCCATAATTGAGGAAGTCAATATGAAATCGAAGGATAGCCAAGACGTCCACTTGGAATGTCACATGCTTGCTTTGTCTTTACTTGTTATGGTTGAGATTGTCTGCAATTCCAGACTCTCTTAAAAAGAGTCAAACTGTCTTGATCCCTAAATCTGAAGATCAGGAATGCCTTAAAAGTACTGACAATTGGAGGCCCATTATAATAAAACCTATTTTGCTTCATTTATTTACTAACTTCATTGTGAAGAAGCTTAGTTCTGTCATTCAAATAAACCTTTGACAGAGTTTCTGGTGGTGACTCTAGGTAGTAACGAGAACACGGCAATTTTAGACAACATCATCCAGGGTGCAAAAAGAAATAGGAAGAACCTCATAATTCTCTTTATCGATTTGGCAATGACATTTGACAATAGTTTATAAACTTTTAAAAATCAACGGACAAACCTATCCAAACCATTTATACAGTTAGTCAACAATCTTTATACTAATAATTCAATGGTAAATCACTCAAAAACTAATCTGATTAAAATTAATAAGAGTAAAACAGAGACTCACTATCTCCTTTATTGTTCTAGACAACAAGGTGT